CTTGCCACGCCACGATCGCGGCTTCGCCGAATTTGCCGCAAACTAAAGAAAACGTAATCCCTCTGGAACCTATGGTATAACTTAACTTAATTTATAGTAAAGCACAAAATTTAACCTTTCAACAAAATGTTTTCATTTGACGCAATATACATACTTCACAAAAGCCGAGTAACGGTAACAGAGTCCTACATCTCAATGAGCGTGTTTGTCTGTTCGAAAAACGTTCTTGTGAAGGCTTCGGATATCTTTCTCTTATTATTTCCATTTAGTTGGAACTATGCTAGTACCCTGTTAAGCTCTGTGTATAAGACATATGGGGGCCCTCTTTCTCTACCTAGATTCAACTAAGAGTGCTTCGCCGAAACGGAACGAAGACACAACGACGATCAATGTGCTAGTGCCAGGCCCTTACACTCTTATTGCTCGAAACGGTCCCCACCTGTTGAGATAATAGAGACACTCGTGTTCTTTTTGTACTGGCTACTATACAATCGAACATTTATCTAAGTCGCTGAAACATGACAGAGCGGATGTTTCGTCTCCTGAGAGCAGCAAATTACGAAATGATCGCAAAGAGCTGATAGCCATCTTTCGCACGTGTGATACTCGGTAAGACAACACCACAGCTCGTATTTCAAAACTGGAATTTACCGGTATTTAAATAAAGTATTAAGGACTAAGCGCATGTGATTCCTCCGACGCTTTCGATCTCGTCACGATTTCGCCACGTCACGTTTTCGTCCGCGATATCCGTATTGGGAGAAGCCGCTGAAACAATATGGCGCCACGTAAATATGGCGATCGTAAAATCGTCGCTTCGTTTTACTACAATTATCCACGGGAGCTTTAAGTTTTCTTTTAAAAAAAGCCCTTTTACCTTGGAATTTCAAATGCCGAGGGGACAAAAGGTTAGTCGCCTGTTGGCGACCAGTTCTAAAATTCTGGTCGCCAACACCTAATTTTTGGTCGCATTGGCGGCCAGTCAGTCGCAATTTCGGACCCTGAGACTACGCATCATTTAAACAATAATAAAAAATTTTTAATGTTTTTCGAAAAAGACTGAGTTAATGTACTCTCTGTTTAATATGAGCCTTCCCTTTTTTCCCTATTCGATCATCACGAAGGAGACGAACATCCATTGAGAGCCTGGTACTGATGCACTGAGCCAGCATGCTCCATGTTCATTGTAAGGTTACCCTTTACCAGCTGTGAACAATTGTTATAAGATCATAACTGTAACTTGCTTTGAAATGTAAACGCCACCTTGCTTCTCTTTCTTTCGTCTCGCTTTTACATAGCTGCGCTGTTTGTTTGTTTTTTTTTTTTAAGGCAAACTGATGTCTACTGAAACCATGCTATGTCTTTATGAGGCATTTATACTTCCTCACTTTTATTATTGTTCTATGGTGTGGCATTTCTCTAGTAAACAAGATTCTGATAATTTGGATCTTTTAAACAAACACATTCTTCGATTTATTTTCAAGGATTTTAACTCTGAATACATTAATTTACTTAAAAGGCCAGGNTAGTTGCATCCTACATTAGGTGGAAAATAAAATTTGCAGAAAAGTGAAAACTCAGTTTCATATAGTTCGAAGTCATGTTACTTGCAGGTTTATGTTAAAGCCATATGGTAGTTCATCCTTTCAGACAATCTATTCAGAAGCTGGTGAATGTCTTTGAACTTATCCCTTCTGAAATGGTGCGATTGTTATCTGTTGGGGTTCAGGGGTAGTTTGTTCATAATGAAGTGTTCAGGTTTTTAAGGAAATTTGGCAGAGAAACATCTTTTTTTTTTCAAAGTATGTTTTCAACTGTTATTACTTATTCTAGCTTCCAAATCTGATGGTATTTCCGAGAAAAATGTTTGAAAAAAAGTTTACTTAATTTCTGAGAAAATCCTTAATTTTTCCTCCATTTCTATTAAACTCTCCCTGGATACAACTACCATCTCTCTAGTACTACGGCTATCGACACAGCTATCTGTCTTTTCTCTACTCAACATTTATCTTTTGTGTTTGCGTATTCGCCCCCTCTGGTTGCAATTCATGTCAACAAACTTTTGAAAAAAAACAAACGTTTGTTAACTTGTAATTTTTGCTTATTAAGTGGGTTCTTCAAATGTTCAGTGATAGCATGAGATAGCACTAACATGCCGAAATGAATGTCCAGTTCGCCGGTGTTCTTCCACAGCCCTTCTACATCCTTCACAAATAACTTTCTCCGCATCGATCGATCTTCCTACTATCCCAAAACAACAACTAAAATCCCTTAAATAATTTTTCGCCTTCTGAAAATTATGTGTTTGGGACTTTCTCCCGCATATTATACAACCATTTTTCGATTTTTTCGCGCTTCTCGTGAAGTAACAATGAGAAAAAATCACAAGAATGACAAGAAACACAAATACACGCGCTATTGTAATTCGCGCAGCGCGGGCGCATACAGCCGGTTAATCGCAACAACCAAAAATTTTATGAAACATGCGCAGACAAAATGCCTCTCTGCACTTGAAGACATGACTGCAACGGAGCCTCTTAAACAAGGACCCTGACTATAAAAGGGATAGCTCCTCCCCTGTCTTGTCCCAAGCCGCGTGTCGCTCTATAGATCACGGGATGTGATTGGCCATTGTATCACATTACGTCAGAGGACATATCTATAACAAGAGGACATCATCTCAACGTTACATACAATTCCACTATCGCGTGTTGAACACGACAAGCATTTGTGTGCTTTGGTTTGCCATAGTTGACGATTTTCTCAAAGATCTATCACAGGTAAGTATAAATTTTTTTATATGGATTTTGAATTTATGACGGGTATGAATTATCGGTGTCGATTGTAGGTTTTTTTTAAGGTGCGGCTCCCTGCACTAAACCCAGTTGATGGTTCCTCGACTTTCGCACATTTCATCACCAAAATCATTTGACCGTGGGGTTATTTGTTTTTGTTTACGTCCATAGCTTTTTTTAATATTTACCCATTATTCTCTGCCGAATCTGTGCATTTTTCCATTTTTTCCTTTTCGCGCGTGCTTCGAATTGACACGTGTTGAATTCTCTGCTGGCACATACCCATAATAATCGTTGAATGTTGTCCTTTAGGACCCAGTTGTTCTAAGGAGGGTTAAATCTTAACCTGAGTTAAGTAAACCAAACATTGGGGTAACATTTTTCGTCGCCTTGTCAGAAAGAAGTTCATCTCTTATTTAACCCACTGTGCTAGCAGGGTTAAATAGCTAACCTCTGGTTAAATAAAACATAAAAATGGCAAACTTGTTGTTTTGTGATTTACACCGGCAACAAAGGAAAAGGAAATTCAGAACTGGCACTCAGTTCGAAATCAATGATTTTACAGACAAGGGGGTATTTATTCCCTATCGCTTGAGACGAGAGTCCATTATATATATTACAAATCTTGTTGTCGGTGATGACAATAGAATTGTAACTTACAGTACATAAACAATTCTTTGATTGCGCGTAACAATCCGTGTAACTTATAGCTGTCTGAAGTAAATGTTGAAGGTGTTACGCAAATACTTGTCAATGTCATGCATTCTAAATAGCTGTCAATACTTGTAATTAGGCATGCCAATGTAGACTATTTTAAGACTTGTGCTGTAGTTTGGATTGTTATATATTTTGTGTGAACGGTAAATTTTTTTTGTTGATACTACACCACCACGTGCTTTGCGGAAGCCGGTATGATCGTTTTAAAGTTTTAGTTTCCTCTCTTATCATGCCACAACTCTGCTCTGTGTTGTGTGTGGTTGTTTTGAATTTGGTTGTGTTACATGTATGAACAAGCAAGCAATTGAAAAGTGATTATTGTTTAAGCTTTCAAGGCTGTATGTTTCTTTTGTATTAATAATTTGCGCATCTTGGCGCATACACTATAGTTTAGTTTGAGATATAATTACTGGTACTTGTGGGATTGATGCTGTGTTTTCTAAATAGTGATAATAACAACACAAACTGGGGGATAACCATGCACATACTTTGCGGAAGCCGGTATCGTTTCGTTGGTAAAGGCAAAACCAGGTGAGTGTCTGGCTCCTATTGACAAAGCTGCCATAGTGTGCTATGCAGTCACCAATTTAACAGAGTCCATTGTACCATTTGATCGAGGTGAACTTA